TTAAAAAATCCAATTTTAATAGGAATCAACTTTAAAATTTCTAAAAAAATTCAATTTTCATCAGAACAAGCTCAAACTTGCTACACAACATAAGTACATATATATGCATCAGAAAATATCCTTAAAATGGAAAATTCTCTCCTGGTCAATTTTGCCAAAATTTGGCCCGAGACACTGTACTATAGTACAGGGACTTTGGCCCGATTTTTGAGTAACTTTAAAAATTCGTAAAAAATCTAAATTTGATCGGAATCAGCTCAAACTTGCTACACAACATAAGTACATATATATGCATCAGAAAATATCATTAAAATGGAAAATTCTCTCCTGGTCAATTTTGCCAAAATTTGGCCCGAGACACTGTACTATAGTACAGGGACTTTGGCCCGATTTTTGAGTAACTTTAAAAATTCGTAAAAAATCTAAATTTGATCGGAATCAGTTCAAACTTGCTACACAACATAAGTACATATATATGCATCAGAAAATATCATTAAAATGGAAAATTTTCTCCTGGTCAATTTTGCCAAAATTTGGCCCGAGACACTGTACTATAGTACAGGGACTTTGGCCCGATTTTTGAGTAACTTTAAAAATTCGTTAAAAAATCCAAATTTGATCGAAATCAGTTCAAACTTGCTACACAACATAAGTACATAAATATGCATCAGAAAATATCCTTAAAATGGAAAATTCTCTCCTGGTCAATTTTGCCAAAATTTGGCCCGAGACACTGTACTATAGTACAGGGACTTTGGCCCGATTTTTGAGTAACTTTAAAAATTCGTAAAAAATCTAAATTTGATCGGAATCAGTTCAAACTTGCTACACAACATAAGTACATATATATGCATCAGAAAATATCATTAAAATGGAAAATTCTCTCCTGGTCAATTTTGCCAAAATTTGGCCCGAGACACTGTACTATAGTACAGGGACTTTGGCCCGATTTTTGAGTAACTTTAAAAATTCGTAAAAAATCCAAATTTGATCGGAATCAGTTCAAACTTGCTACACAACATAAGTACATATATATGCATCAGAAAATATCATTAAAATGGAAAATTTTCTCCTGGTCAATTTTGCCAAAATTTGGCCCGAGACACTGTACTATAGTACAGGGACTTTGGCCCGATTTTTGAGTAACTTTAAAAATTCGTTAAAAAATCCAAATTTGATCGAAATCAGTTCAAACT